ACCTAGCATCTCAGCTTCAGTCACTTTCCTACCATCATAACATAGCTTCCATGTGTCTTTTCTATAAATATTTTCATGGTAATTGTTCTGATGATTATTCCTTGTTGGTACCTAGATTTTATAAATTTAAGTTCAGTATTAGATTGGCAGCTAAGTCTTGTCATTTTACAGTTGAAATAGCATAGAACTTATGGTAAAATTTAGCTAACAGTTTCTTCTCTCACACTTCTCGCTTGTGGAACTCTCTTCCGGTTTCTTGCTTCCCTGTCAACTTTGATCTTGAAAAATATAAATGTGATGTCAATTGTTACATTCTGCCTCCTCAAGTTTTGTTCTTTTATTGCTCTCTCTTTCTCTCCTTAACATTTTTCTTTTTCTCATATTCTTTCACACTCAGTGACCCCTTGAGTCTTTGTGACTTTATTGCTTTGCTTGGGATGAAGTGATTTAAAAATAAAAACACACACAAACTGTTCCGTCAGTGATTGTTGAATGTTTCCTATATCAAAATGGTTATACTTACATGGCACAAGAGATAACCATTGCCAATGAGGTTTTACTGAAGCATGGTTAACATCCCTGTGCTGTAAGTGAAGCTATGATTCTCCTCATTTTAGATGGGAAAAGTTGCTCAGCCCTGGAGATTCCAATCCTGTGGCAACACCTTCCTCATCACATTGGATTAGTGTAATACCAATGCCAGCACAACAGTGGTTGCAGGGTCTGGATAAAAATCATTTTTTGTCCTTGGCCCATATGCATAAGTATGTGTAGGGTGTTCCCCATGTTAAAATGACCTTGTGTCACATCCAACCTTGCTGAGGAGGCTGGGTAAATATACCTGTATCAAAATGGTTCATTTTATCATTACCATTTGGTCAGGTTGCTTCTTTACAGTCAATGCATGAACTTAAAATAAAATCCTCCAAAAACTTCCAACTATCCAAAAAATTTTGATATTAAAAGTAGAACATGCTGAAAGCAGTCATCGAGAGATGTTTGACTTTTGGAGAGCTTCTCAAAAGACATTATTAAAGAATCTATATCAAATACATTTAGCAAAAGGTGTTTGAAAGAATACATTTCATACTGAGACAACTATATTTTGTACTGTAACAATTTGATAATGGGAAAATGATCATATCTTTTTGACCTCTATTAATGTTTGTTAGCCAAAATTTGAACCAGTTTGCAGAATAACTGTTAGGTTAGTCTTAGCCTCTGGCAGTAATGAACTTTAACAAAATATCTGAAATTTTTAACCCTGTATCACATTATGAAGACTAAAACAAAAAAGGTAATTTGATCTGCTTTATTTTGGTCATGGGAAATGTTATTCATTTAACAAAACAAGGCAATTAACCTAATAAATGCCATAGAAGTACAATACACTTTCATTGAAATTCTGTGTTAATAGTGAGAATATAGAAACAGTATTTCTTTTCTGTTCATTCAGTTATTATTGTGTATCAATTTTTATAGATGTTCACTCCAAAGTTCATTTCTTGCAACAAATAAAGACTATTAAAAACTTCAATATATTATCATAACCCTCCTTGTTCATTAGTTAGCATGTATGTTATGATCCTGTTTGATTGTGAGGATTTGAAGATAGATGGAAGAAAAGATATATTAAAGATGCTGTTTGGTTTTTAAAAGAATGAGAAAAGTAAGAGAGAGAAAGAGGTGTATATAAAGGATGTTTCAATAACTTGGACCGATTTTAAATGTGAGTTTAAGTGTCTAATGATTTTTTCTTTTAGATTTTGCAGACATTTGGGCGATATTATTTTTCACACATAATTGCCACGACTTAAATAACATGATTCAATAGAGAAATAAATAAATTTTCACCAATAACACTGATTTACCTACTCCTGACTTTGATCCATTTTAATGAAACACCCTTTATCAATCCAGGTAACTGCATACAGCTGATGAAGGCTGGAGGACACAATGGCTGAAATGGTGTGATAATGAAAGATAAGGAAAATAGTCTGTATGTAAGTAGTGTAAATAATGATAACTCCTCATCATGGAAATTCAGACAGAAAATAGGACACACTACTCTTTGTAGCAACTAGTGTATATTGTTGGCACCAGCTTACATCTGGATTGTCATCCTCTCCATATTTCATCCCCCCCAACCCCGGTGGAAGTGGCAGAGATGATTGATTATAGTGGACAACTCTGCATAATGGAGAAGCCTACACACTTGGCTAGAAGTGCCTCAAAGAGGATTGAGACAGGTGAGATCTGGCACACCTGCTTGGTCTGTCAAGGTCTACCTTGGTTATGCCAGCCCAACTAGCACTGCCCTCTTCTGCCAGGTTTGGCTGTTGAGATTGTATAGAGCTTTGTTTATTTTTCCATTGGGGTCTTCAGGTGTTGATTGTGTTCAGTCTCATCTTTCCTCTTCAACTTTACTGCCATGGGTAGCCTTACAGGAGTTGGAACTCTAGATGGCTTCACTCTTGAGATCACAGAGACAAGTGAACCCTCTACCATGACGAGGAATGAAAATATATATATATATATATATATATATATATATAAAATAAAAAGCTTAAACACTAATATTCCATGGTTATAATTTATTACATTGGAATCATAATCACGATCCAATTCATCAGACCTACAAATTCAAAAAGAAAATATAACTCCAGGTGCAAAAAACAAAATTTCAGTGAGAGTGTATGTGCGGGAGTGGGAAACAAGTTTGAAAGTGAGATGTATGAAAGCTTTAGAGAGGGGGGTGTAATAGAAGAAAGAACACGAAAGGCCTAAAGGTTAAGGTGGGGATTAAAATTTAACAGAGAGAAGTTTTAAAGAGAGGAGTTAAATAACGGTTTAAATGAGTGAGATACGGATAACTATGAATCATTTTTTTGATGCCCAAATCGCTACCGAATCACTGACCTTCATTAAATTAAAAAACAGACACCGGAAAAGTGTGTATACATTTGTGGTGACACTACACACAATAAAAAAACGATATGGTCTAAACTTAAAATCCAGAAGATGAGAGAGAGAGAGGAAAAAAAAATAAATAAATAAAAAAATGATGGGGAGAGGGCCAAACTAAAAACAAACGGTATTTATAAGAGAACCAATGTGTTATAAAGAAAATTTGACAAAGCAAGTAACATCACCTACAGGTTACAAATTTAGCATATACATATAAAATCTAACTAATATTTAATCTAGTAAGGACCTATTATTTCTAAACACATACATAGATACACACATGCACAACATGTCTGTAAGAGGGAAATCATTTTCTTTGCCTTTTATAGCAGTATCTTCATGCAATTTTAACACAAGTTCTATCAAAGACTACCAACAAGGGAAGTTGCAATTTTTTGTTTAAACATCTTCATAACTGAAAATAGATAATGAAGAACTATTCATGTGATTCTGATAATATGCTCTTCACTATTCTAACCATTTTGAAAATTCTGACTTTTATAGTCTTGACCTTAATTGGCCTGAAGCTTGAAAATAGCCAAAAACACTTTGTCAGAGAAGTATTCACAGTTCTTGTATTCACTATCTGCTGATCTATATTCAACTGGAAGATGGCTTATAGCCATAACACATTGAAACATCAGTTACCTCGTACAATCAATGAAGTTAAGCAACACTGAGCCTGGTCAGTAACGAGATGGGTGACCACTTGGGAATACCAAGTGCTTTAAGCTTGGATGTGTGGGTGGTGTAATGGATAATGGCTCAGAATTGTTAATTGGAATTCATTACATTCACTTACATGCAAATACACTTAGGAAAAGTATGAATTTACCTATTCTCTTTCCAGTTATGAGTAAATTAGTAAAACTAGTATCACTAAATCATTATTATCTCAAAAAAAAAAAAAAATTCTTAAAATCTAAGAATAAACTCTAAATCAATCAAATGGAAGGAAAAAAGAAAAATTAATTAAAAACTTCCTTGGTTGAGCTGGACTCCAACACAAATAGCAGTGGCACATTGTTGGAGGGCAAGAGACTGGTAGAGCCAACCTTTAGTGTGCCTATTCACTCCAAAGATGTTGTTTCTGACCCTAGCACATCTATCAACCCAACCGGAGAATAAGCAGTGACTGTCCTATTGCAAAGAAGTACCAGACTAAAGAGACTGGTACCCCCACTGTCAACTTTGTCATCAGGAGATCAGGCAGGGAGTGTGGTAACATTCAATGCACTTACCAGGGATTGAAAAGGTAATGTTGCTTTGCATGTTTAGTCTGCCATTTGCAATATGGAAATGATAGATATGCAGACTGACATGCCAAATCGACATCCATGAATATTAAAAATTATATATATATATATACATATATATATATATATATATATTATATAAATAAAGAAACATAGTTTTAAGGTGTGCTATATTTATGGGATAAAGTGCTCAATATCAGAGATAGAGTGTATGTAAATATAAATATAAAAGTGAACATTGAAGTCAACACTCAGAGGTAACAGGCTGTTTCATGCTGGACGCAATCATCAGGCGGCCTGACGATTGCATCTGAATTTGTCAATATATCATGGATAAGACTTTTAAGAATGGAGACAGGAGAAAGAGAGACTGTCTCATTAGTAAAGACAAAAGAAGGAGGAGGAGGAGGAGGAAGAAGAAAACGCCAGGTTAGCCATGAAACGGATTACTGGCATTAAAAGAAATCACAATCCACATGTTCTGTTTTGTTCTCTTTCTTCACAATGGCAGGAATAATGCGTCTTTCAAGTAATTCATAGAAAATAAAAAAAACAAGATTAACACTGAAAAAAAATCATATACACTTTTTTAATTTGTTTCAACAGATTGAAAAAAATCCATTGGGGAAAAAAAAACAAAATTTTTGTAATCACATTTTTCAGAAACTGTTCCTGCTCAATGCTTAATCCTAAATCATCCCATCTAATTCTGTAACTGGGGTAAGGAAGATTCGTTTTTTTTCTCTGTTCAATCTAGAAGACAGTAACCAATTCAAATTAAACTAAACCTGAAAAAAAGAAAAAAAATATTAAAATAAAACATGTTTATGTCTACAATGTGGAAAGAAAAAATACAAAAAAAAAACAAATACATTTTTAGGATTTTTCACCCCAAAATAAAAAGAATTTATATTTACTGAAGTTCATACCAAATTCTCCCAAAGTAAGATCCTTCCATTGCATTCTGACTGGGTTGACCTTTGTGATTGCCCCAGATCTGTGCAACTACAGTGTGCTATTTCTAAATGTGGGGTCAACAATAAACAAGCCAAAAAAAAATTTTTTATAAAAATACCTCAAACATCCTCCGTACTTAAGAAATGTGAATAATTCCTTGATTTTTTGGTAATTTTTCCTTCTGAGGATTGGAGTTGTTGCAAGGCAAGCTGAACTAATTTTGATTTAAAATTTATAACTTCTTAGGCTGAATTAATATTTGTGATAAGTAACTTTACATTATTTGGGGTGAATTAACAGAAAAGATCCCACATTTATGACCAAATCTACAAAAATTATACATAAAAATCTTTTAACATTTTCGCTGATGCATTGTTATAGCTGTGCTGGCTCATCTTGGGGGTAAAAATAAGAAATTGTCATTTAATGGCAATAAATGACTATAAAAGATGCTGATGGCAATTTCTCAGTGGCCTTACTATTTTTGTTTTGATTGGATACTCTGCAGCACAGACTAAGCTAAATGACATCCCTAACACCGAACATAATAAAAATATGTAAAAACAGGCTGTGTTGTAAACTACTATACATCTATGCTGGTTTGGAAATAGCACTAAACACCAACTAGTTTATAGCACAAATGATAGGGACCAACATTTCACAGTGTCTTGAATATATATGTTGACAGCTGGCAATGTAAGTTTTGTATATCTTGAAAATGTATGTATATGTCAACAGCAGGAAATGTAAATTTCATAAAGATGTACAAGTAGACAAACAGCAATGAATGTGTTAACAAGAGTAATTTATTTTTGTTTTTACAATAATGTTCACCATGTACAGAGCCCAAGAACCACTTGAGGTAGAGGGTTACAGTGTAAGAGGTAAGGGGGGGACAGTTTATGAAGATATGTAGGGAAAGATAACAGCCCTTGACTTGAACAGGTTAAGATAGTAGTGACCAGGGAAAGCATCTTCTTGAGAGTTGGCTCCACATAATAGCATTTCAGTGAAATAAGCTGTTTGAGTGGAACTTACATTTCACCAATGAAATATGAAGGGAATTAGGGTGGTTCACTACAACATGCGTGGATTAGAGGGTCTTAGCTATGAAGGTTAGAACTGGTGAAACTAACGAATGTAGTTTGTCTGAAAACTTTCCATGGAAATACTGACAGAACAGTGAGAGATGTGCAATGTTTTGTCTGTGGGGAAAAAGGCTGAAGGATGGAAAATAATTCATCACCCACAACACTGCATAGATGCTTTGGGAGTCTATTGAGACTGGGAAGTTCCTACCCATATACAGCAGCAGTACTCCATTTTAGGCCTGATCTGGCTTGCAAGAGAAAACATCATTAATTGAAATTAATTGTAATAATAAGTTATTAGAAATATTTAATTAAAAAGATTCACATAGTATATTTAACATATGAATGTAAATTCATCTTGAAAATGTATTGTGAAAATATTAATTTGCATAATCAAATATCGTATAAGTAAAAATTAACAAATGATAATTTTATTACAAATAACAGTATTATTATTATTATTTTAAAAATCTATACAAAAACATTTACTCACCATAGATTACGTAGATATTATGCCAGCATCTTTTAATTTGCCAACCAATTCTTCAACAGATTCCACTTTCTGTCCTGATTCCCTGACTGGGGGGTCCTCAACTGAAAGGATCTTATGGTGAGGGGTTAGGTCAACTCCATAATCTGCAGGTTTCTTCTTGGCTAATGGCTTCTTTTTTGCTTTCTAAAATAAAGATGTTAAAAATGCTTTTCAGTTTCTCCTGTAACCCAAAAATATGTATTTGCTCATTTAATCAAATTTTCTCTATTTGTGGTAATTATATATATATATATAAGAACAAATAGGAAACGTTTATCAATCTAACATATTTCACTTTTTTAAAAGCTTTGTCAGAGACTGAGATATGGAGAAAAAAGAACATATTATATATATATATATATATATATATATATATATATATATATATATATATATGATAAACCAATGATAAACCACTGTATGTACACACATCTTTCACAAATAGTAAATTCACAAACAGCACAATGCTTTCTAAGTATATCTGGGAAATTAAAAACAAAATGCAAATCACACAAAAAATATGGAAAATAAGGAAAAGAACATCAGCCTTCAACAATCAATCCAAAAACTACAAACTTTGCTTGGAGGAAAAAATAGCTATTATTACCTTCCCAGACTAAAACAAACTACTAAATAAACGATCAGAACTTATCTCAAAATGCAGACATGAAAACAAATTTTTATGTTACTTAAAAATCGAAAACTGAAAAGAATAAATAAAAATAAGAAAAAACAAGTAAAATAAATTAATCCAAACAAATAAACAAATTAACAAACCACTCCCACCAAAATAACCTTTACAACAATCAACTCAAAAATTAGACAAAAAATAGCTATAATTACCTTCCCAAACCAAAACAAACTACTAAATAAACAATCAGAACTCATCCCAAAAAATCTTTTACTACGTTACTTAAAAGATCGAAAACCAAAAAGAATAAATAAAAATATATAAAATTAAAATAAAAAAGAAAAAACAAAATTAATCCAATAAATAAATAAATAAACAAATTAACAAACCACTCCTGCCAAAATAAATAACCATTAGAATAGACTACCCACAATGCACCACTGACCTGTATATATAAATAGTCAAGAAAAACTCAACACATGGCCTTATGATTGCGTTTAGCATGAAACAGTCCCCCCTCCCCCATATTATAATATTAAAATTTTTTCTTTTAAACTTTAGATACAGGAATCCCTCGATTAGTGCAGCTAACTTGTACATCAGTAACTATAAAAAAAAATCAATTTTCAATTACTATGGTTAAACTGAAGAATGTTACACCACACTAATCAAGTATTATGTATGCACTAATCAAATTTTGGTATATAAAAATTTTAGCACACTAATCAGAAACACTTTAATCGAATGCGCATTAATTGAGGGATGTCTGTAATTGAAGATGAAATTTGAAAGAAAAAGGATCTTAAATTTCAACTACATAACTGAATTTCAAATTTTCTTATAGATTGAAAAATAAATGGAATTTCTTCTTTCTTTATTTAAGGTTTTTAGACAGCTGCCTTCCAACCTTGTTGTTTTCTCTTTATATAAAACTGTATGAAAATTCATATCATTATAGTTTCTTAATTTTTGTTCATTTATTTTTTTATTATTTGTTTTGATCATTCTATACAAATATTTTTTTTAATACATCTCAGGACAGAGACAACTCTGTTTAAGTGATAATATGACTGACATTTTTTTCTCTCTGAATTTTTGTGAGTTCAATCCCTGGGCTGTGCAGTGTATACATGGACTTAGTAGAAACTAGCGAACAATAACTAGACTAAATAAGAATTAGATCAAAATATCCCTAGACATGGCCAGTGGAATGAGAACAGTCTACCACTGTAGATTAAATCAAGAGCTTGGTTTGGAATTCCTTGTAGGTTACCCAGATCGATTTACACCTGATGAAGACCAGAGCACACAACATCTGAAATGTTGTGATAACAATAACAAAGATTAGGACAATAATCCGAATATAAATGTATAAATAATGACAGCAACATATATTTCATCTTTTGTTGTTCGGTTCATATAAAAAGAAAATAGAAACAATTTCCTAAAATGGAAAAAAAAAATATAAAGGCCTAACAATCATAAAATAAAGTAAAAGATCCAAAAATTTAAAAATCTTTTGAAATTTTCTTTTTACAGTAATGTTCACCCTGTACAAGGCCCGAGAGCCACTCGAGATAGAGGGTTACAGAGTAAGAGGCACAGTTTATGTGATTATGTGGGGAAGATAACGGTCAACCCTAGACTTGAAAAAGTTAAGATTATAGCAATTTGGAAAAACATCCTTTTGGAAATTTGGTTCCAAAGAGTAGCAATTCACAAGAAGATGATGCTCAAGTGGAACTTACACCTCATCAATGGAATATGAAGGGAATGAGTTTGCTACAATGTGCATAGCATGGTGAGTTATAGTCATGAAGGTTAGAAATGGTGAAACTAAGGAATGTTGTTCGTCTGAGCACTTTCCATGGAAATAGCGACAGAGCAGTGAAAGGCTTGTGACATTTCATCCGTGAGAAAAAGACTGTAGGGTGGGAATTAATTTCTCACCCACAAGGACATGGAGACGCTTTTAGACACTATTGAGACTGGAAAGTGCAGACTGGACAGCTATTTGACTAATGTTGAAATTTCAATGCTGCTACATGTGGATGTAGAAAGTTGTTGTAAGCTTCATTTTTAATTTGATCTTCCATTTTTGAAATCAAGATTACCTGCTATAAATTGCTACTTACCATAATATTTGGTAATGTCGCATAACGTGGTTCATTTAGTCTTAAGTCAGCACTAATGACAGCTGGTATTTTTACTTCAATATTTTCCAATCCACCGTCTATTTCTCTTGTCACTTTCAGATTCTCATTAGTTTTTTCTATACGAGAAGCAAAAGTGGCCTGGCAAAAGAAAAAAAATATTGTTTTAGTCTGCATTAAATATTAATTTTAGGTTTTATTAAAAATTAAAAAAAAAAAAGGATAAAATCTGTTTACATCCTTTTAAGGTCAGGGGAGGCAGGGGTTCATCATATCAAAATATAATTAAAAGTTTGATATTTTATATCAATTTAAAATAATTAAAATAAAGCCTTTAGAAAGTTTTGAACATTCAATGGTTACAAGCATTGAACCAAAAAAATAAATAAATGACAATGCAACTGACGTAAACTTGATGCAGTCATACAATTGAAAATAAAGCTAACTAGCAACTTCTCATAGTTTGTGAAAACATTTTTTTTTAGTGGAGATATAGCAGTCTCTTTTCTAAAATATATAACATTGAAAAGGTTAAATATTATTGATAAAAAATTTAATAAAATATTATTTTGAATTCAATTTATAGTTGTTAACCGGGGTAAGAAATGACTTGTTAATTTTATGCCTCCAAAACAAAACTGCAATCCTTTAATCATCATACAGACCAATTTTGCCTTCCATCAGTATGGCTGATGCTAACCTCCAGGAGAGCAACTCATTGCACCTTCTTAGTCTCACATTTTCTACTGACATGAAGTGGAGAGATTATATTGAATCAACTGCTAGGTTTGCTCTTAAGAAGCTTGGTTCACTGCGTCATGACAGACAATTTTTCTCGTCAGAATCCATCTTGCACATTTATAAATCTACCATTCATCCATACTGAATATTGCTGAATTTATTCGGTCTGGTGCTCCAGCCATATATCATGAAATTCTTGACAAAATCTAAAAAGAGTCTGTAATATTATCAGTCCTGACCTGGCATCTCAACTTCAGTCACTTTCTTATCACTATGATGTGACTTCTGTTTTTTTCTATATTTTTCATGGTTGTTGTTCTAATGAGCTCTGCTCCTTGGTACCTCTATTGCCTGTATTTAAGTGTACTACTAGATTGGCTATTAGGTCTCATTGTTTTACGGTTGAATCAGCTAGTCCTATTCTAGTAGTTTCTTTTTTTTTTGCACTTCATGGACTCTCTTCCTGTTTTTAGTTTCTCTGCCATCTACACTCTTCAAAAATTTAATTGCAATGTCAATTGCAATTTTCTGTCTTCCTGTTCTTTTATTGTCCTTTCTCATCACTAAAGTTTTTTCATTCCCTTCCGCTCCCAGTAACCCCTTGCATTATAGTGGCATTATCGCTTTGCTTGGGGTAAAATGATAAAGAAAAAAAATTACATCAGATGCTGTTAAAAACAGCTATTAAGATATTGCACATTTTGTGATAGAAATTCTATTAAATGTGATATAATGGAATATGCATACACCTATGTTCCCCCTCAGTGGAATATGATTGGCTGGTGTCCGTCATAAATACCGACGGATGTGTAGGTACGACAGAGTCAGAGCCTTAGTCTGATAGGTAAGTCTATAACGATGCCCACTGGACTACGCCATTGATCTACACTTCTTACCTGCAACTACGACGTGTACCAGTCGATTACTGCTACCATATTCTACTTGGTTATAGTAGCCAAAGCCACTTAGCTACTTTGTTCAAATATATACCTTTCCGGGACATATCAAAATGTTATATAACAAAAGGACACTTCTTGCTTATAAAAGCAAAAATGTTTGGGTTTTTTTAATTCATAATTAAATGAATATCTATCAGTCAATCGTTTTACTTTAAAAACAAAGAATTATGATGAACATATTTGAAAATAGCGTTAGTTGTTCAAAGCTACAAAGTATAACTGAAAATAAATATAATCACGAGTTTGTTATACTTTGTACGGACTGCTTTAAAAAGATGTTGAGTCTTCAATTGGTTCAGGAATGTTTATTTTATCAAAATCATTGCTTCCAACCAATTAAGAGAATAGTTCTATTTTAACCTTACAAACATTTGCAAAAACAAATATAAACAAATTTAGGACCTAAAATGAAATTCTATTCTTAAGATAAAAAAAAACATTGGAAGGGGAGATGTACTAACTTATATAATTACTGTATTATTTTTTATTATTAATATGATCATTATTTAATTTTTATTAATATGATCATTATTTAATTACTTATATAATTACTGTATTATTTTTTATTATTAATATGATCATTATTTAATTTTTATTAATATGATCATTATTTAATTACTTATATAATTACTGTATTATTTTTATTATTAATATGATCATTATTTAATTTTTATTAATATGATCATTATTTAATTACTTATATAATTACTGTATTATTTTTTATTATTAATATGATCATTATTTAATTTTTATTAATATGATCATTATTTAATTACTTATATAATTACTGTATTATTTTTTATTATTAATATGATCATTATTTAATTTTTATTAATATGATCATTATTTAATTACTTATATAATTACTGTATTATTTTTATTATTAATATGATCATTATTTAATTTTTATTAATATGATCATTATTTAATTACTTATATAATTACTGTATTATTTTTTATTATTAATATGATCATTATTTAATTTTATTAATATGATCATTATTTAATTACTTATATAATTACTGTATTTTTTTTTATTATTAATATGATCATTATTTAATTTTTATTAATATGATCATTATTTAATTACTTATATAATTACTGTATTATTTTTTATTATTAATATGATCATTATTTAATTTTTATTAATATGATCATTATTTAATTACTTATATAATTACTGTATTATTTTTAATAAAAAACAAAAAAAAAAAAAACATTTGTTCAATGTCATTTATTCCTGTTCATGACTTTCCCAAGGGCATTAGTGCATTAAACCTACAACTACTTCATGAACAAAAAGAATGTTCAAAATAGCAAAGCTTACAGCCAAAGAAAAAAATATTCAAAACTAATAATTAGATAAAATATGATAATGAAAAAATATAATAAGCATCCGTTTACAAGATTATCTCAGTCAATGTTTGAAATCAGCTCATTGATACCATTTTCAATGCTGCTAACCATTTAGGCACTGCAAATCCACTGTAATTTCACCCCATTCAGAGTGATAATGCCACTAGGACACAAGACAAGTGAAAGAGAATGAAAAGACTTTAGTGAGGAGAAAGAAAAAAAGATTGCAATTTGCATTTAAATCTTTGAAGAATGTAGACGGCAGGGAAGCAAGAATTACATAGATGCCTACAATTAGGCCATTTCCAGTTTATATTGTGTAAAATGATATCCTTTTTCACACTAAACTGACCTGTAGAGACCTTGAAGGTTAATGCCATCTATTCCACATTCATCCTAGAGTAAACTTATATACTAATTTTTAACCACCAGGATCCAGTCATTTGGCCGTTTGTAAGATAGAAAGGAAGGAAACAATTGATGGCTTTATAATAAGTGTTTTTTAGTTCTCAGAATGGATAGAGCTTTAATTATAGCAATTTCCTCACTATCTTTTGAATTTCTGTATACCACTATTAAATAATGCACTATTTTACAAGGACATACCTGTGGCCAGTCTAAAAAGGCTGCTGTCATCTGAGCTGTTTGGTTGCAGTCATCATCAATAGCCTGGACATAAAAAGAAAATTGTTAATCATTCAAAATTACTGGCATCAAAAAAAGTTAAATGTCAAAGTTAAAAATATCAGATGCTGAAAGTTTATCTAATGTAATAAAAAAATACCAAAAGTTAGAAATGTCATTCAGTCTATTAGGCGAGTATTTCATTTGTGAAGCAATGCTTATACTAAGTTAGCAGAATATTAAGTTCCAATCTTACTGGACGCCCCACAACTGTAGCCTTGTGCCAAACTAAGCTATGTTTAGTAAATAATAATGTGGTTTCAGGTTAAATTAGTAAAAAACTGTAAGACACTATACTTGATATATCGCCATGAATTAAAGATTAAAAAAACTAGCTAGCAACTATAGGAGTTTTATCTCAAATGATCAAATTTCACAAATGACAGACTAAACAAAGCTAAGTGAACATTTATAATTAAATTTATGAACTATTTATTTTATATTTTCATGTTAATTTTATTGCCTTACTCTTCTAAACCAGCACAGAAGAGTAGGGCAACTTGGAAGAAGGAGGATTCATAGTTTTTTCCCAAGGGTTGTTTGCTTTAGAAGTAATCCTAATCACACTTTTTTGTAAACATATCATGTAGACAAAACCATTAGCATTCCATGTTTGATCACTATTTTAAAAATGTTAAATAGTTTCACAAAACTAATCAATTCGACTTATCCTTAAGCCAAAAATTTTTTTTTAGTTTGTAAGAATTTTGGGGGGAGATAATTATTTAGTTTTAAAGGTCATAGCAGGGGAAGAAGAGGCAGATTCATACATTTCCCAACGGTATTTGTGCATAAGTGAATATAACAATCCCAACTGGAATTGGAACTCAGCTCTCTGATTGGTAATTCTGAGCCATTATCCATTACACTACCCGCACATATTTTTGATACTTACATAGTTTGCATTATAAGTTGGACAAAAAAAGTATTTCCATTGTGTGACATCTTGGTGTGAAGTCAAAACACAACCAACAAAAAATATTTTGCATTATTTTTTGATAAATATGGTAAAATTTCAATTTTAAGTTTGCATCTATGTAACTGGCTATATACATTTTAAATGTGCTTTAAATGTTGTCCATTTGATGGGAGAGAAAATTAAGATATCTTGTGTGCTACTTCAGAAAAAAAATTCCTACAAGATACCTTCATCAACTGGTCCCAAGTGGTTAAAGAGAAGAATGTGTGTATCATATGCTTGCAAATATGGCATGTGTATTCATCCACAGGCACACACTGTGGAAAGGAAAATCATTTTTTTAGGCTAGCAAATGCTACATGAGAATATGCACTATGGGTCTGTAAATGAGAATTATGCACCATGGGTCATGTGGATATACATTAAGAATTCGTAAATACAACATGGTATGCACTTTCATTAATACTGAAAAGAGTGACAACAGCCACTAGACACGAGAAACCTATTTTACTAAAAAATTGTTTTAAGAGAAAGATTTTTTTCTTAAATTTTAACCAAAAGCAGTAGTGCTGCTTGGTCGATGAATGGCAAATGTTTCCTTGTAGTGAAATGGCTAATATTACCATTACCCTTTCCATGGGCCAGCACATACAAGGGAGTGTGTATGTATATATATATATATATATATATATATATACACACACACACTATCAAGTGACAAATAGTTGCTCACCTGTTTCCCCAAAAATAAAAGGTCCACTTTCTCTTCTTGTGCAATTTTTGACAGTAACTTTGAAACATGATATGGCTGCATGGTTTCATATTCCTTAGCAGGAACCTCGACAAGAATGGCCTTGTCAGCACCCATAGCTAGAGCTGTACGTAAGGTTTCCTGGAAACAAAAAAAACAAACAAATTATATATATATATATATATATATATATATATATAGAGAGAGAGAGAGAGAGAGAGAGATTATACAACTAAGGCTAATATATATTGGATGATTAACAAATTACTTGATAAAATGTCACCAGACTAAAATTCTTTCATGTGGGTGGTAGTACACTTTTCAGTATGTTGATGAGAATGAAACTGTGGATTAGACTGCCATTAACATCTAGAGATAGACAAACCTGTATAATGAGGTTATAAATGCTTTGGGGTGCAGGTCAATGCCAAACAGACAAAGATTCTCATCCAGTCAGTCCCCAGACAATCAACATCAATGGACAGCCAGTAGAAGTCATTGAAGAATTTCTATACCTTAGCAGCATCATCTCAAAAAAATGTCACCTGTGAAAAAGACCTCAACAACAGGATCAAAGCAGCTCATACTGCATACAGAATGCTCTTGCACTGGGTCTTCAGCAATCATGGCTTCACAATAAAAACCAAAATCATGGTCCTCTTCACCACTCTATATGCTTGAAAGACATGGACTTTGTATTGTTGAGACATCAAATGTCTGAAGCATTTTCAGCAAATGAAGCTCTGAAGAATACTTTGCATCTGTTGGGAGGAACACATCACCAACAACAAGGTCCTCTTCTGGACATCTCTCCACAGCGTCAAAGCTACCATCCTTCAACATCACCTCCACTGGGTGGGCCACATGATCAGAATGTGTACCACTCAACTCTTACAGTCTTGAAGACATCCCTGACAGAGGCCAACATTGACCTTGTGACCGAGACTTTCAACATGAAGAGGATGTGTCTACTTCACCATGCACGTTCCTGTGACTCCTGCTCATAACTCTTCAAGAGTAGATTGAGCCTTCACAGTCATCTCCACCACCAACACTGGGGAGTGGGGAATAGGGAGAGAGGATGACGATCCTGATGCAAACAGGTGCTGATGACGAAGGCAGATAAAATGTAGTGCAGATCAACACTTATTAACAAATCAGCAGTAATTCTTTTTTTGTGTTTGCAAAATGATTTCAGATAGAGTAAATCAGAGTATAGAGTTATTCTAGAATGAAGTTAGCCATTGCTTTGCTTAATTTTAGCACTCACCTGACATTGTGTTGGGCCAAAAGACACTGCAATAATTTCTTTGGCAATTTTCTTTTCTTTAAGGCGTACAGCTTCTTCTACTGCAATCTCATCAAATGGGTTCATGCTGTGTTTAACGCCAGCAGTAACAACGCCTAACTTGTCAGGCCTAACTCGCACCTGGAGAAGAAAATGACAAAAGTGTATTTTTGTTTTTTTTTAAATTGAGTATAGCCCAAGAAAGTCAGTAAAATCATTGTCAAATGGGGTTACTGGGTGTGGAAGAATTAGAAAACAGAAACATTATTAAGGAGTAAGAGCAAAAGAAGAGTAATCAGGAGAACATTACAAAGCAACTGAGATTGCTTTTAAATTTTTCAAGTTTAAAGTTGACTGGAAAACATGGAGCTGAAAGAGATTTCCACAAACGAGAAAAGAAACTGTTAGCATAGAATTTCTGGTTACATCTAGCCAGCTTAACTGTAAATTGGTGAGACCTCATTGCCACTCTAGTCAGTCAGTTATGCGCCATGCGTGATACACACTTAGGCGATCATGTATCTTTTGATACATGACTGACAAGGCAGATTTTTTCCCGCACTTGCCACTTCTTTCTGCGGTAGACCAGTTGCCATCCACGGCCATAGAAACCAGCCTGTCCTGCTATTTACCAATAGATATGGGGGGGAGGGGGAGAAGTAGAGGATTCATATCTTTCCCAAGACTGAGCAGTTTAACTTAGATTTCTCGTTCCTCGTGGAAAAAAGTGAAGAAATATCTCTCTACGAAACATTTACTCAAGGGAAGAATTCTAACTGGAAAAACCAACATTTTGCATGAATAAAAGCTTTTAAACAGTTATTTTAAGCCTTGGGATTGTTCATTGCACTCTATACACTGCTGAGCACATGCTCACAACAAGAAAAATCTACAAAATACTCTCTCAAGTTAAGCTACAACAAAATACATGAATCTCTCAATGTGTATTCAATTAACGTGCTAAAATTTTTATATGCCAAAATTCGATTAATACATAATGCATAATACTTGATTAGTGCAGGAAAACATTTTTCAGTTTAACCATAGTAATTGAAAATTGATTTTTTTTATAGTTACTGATTAATTAAAAACTTTCTAAAATTTAAAAATGGGTAACTATTTGTTTGTCAAGTATTATATTATCTAAGTAATTACAGCAGTGTTAAAAAAAAAGGATGGTTATAAATTAGATAAATTTTATAATATAAGCTGATAATAAAATTACATATTTGAATATTTATCTTTTTTTAATATTTTGATTTTTTTATGTTTATTTTGAAAGTCTTGAAAGAAAAAAAAAAGGACAATTTAATTAGATACAGAAATTCACATTTATTAAGAAATATTGAAATATAAAAGATGTATGCATTTACTATGGAAAGATTATAAATAAAATTTTCAGGTTAAAATACTAATGATTATATTTTTGGAAAATTTCCCAAAAATAGAAAATATGTACCTATATTTTAATTTAAAAGTATGCAAATTAGAAATTAATTGTGAATGAGACTAAAATTTGTGGTACAAATTACATCATTTCCTATAAGTTATTATTTTCAATTAATGCATATCTTTTAATGTACACATTAGCCACACTAATTAAGAGATTCCTGTATTGTTAGTTCAGACTAAATTCAAATAAGTACTACAAAAAGAAAGCCATGAAAGAAAATAAGTCATCTATAGCATTAAGTTTCATTAGTACAAAAAAAAGAGAGAAAGTAGATGAATTTTTATTATAGCAAGATAAATGGACATTCAGTCAGGTTTTAGCTGGATTTGTTTTTGATTTTTAGATATAAAATTTATTTCCTTTGAAAAAAAAAAAGACAATTTTGTCTATTTAATTAAAAAAAAAAATTATTCTTTGTTGATATTGTTTTGTTTTTTTTCCTATTAAATGAGAGGTCAGTTTGATTTGAAACTCTAAAGAAACACCATTTTTTTTTTTTAACATAAGACAAGAAATTATGAAATAACTCATAAAATATTATGCTTCATTATACTACAGTATTACAAATCTTTAAAATGTCTAAGGGAATGAAAACAATCTCCTTAAACATTTTAAGGTTTTGTAAACTGTAACTTACAATTATGAGAAGAGTGACTAAGAATTATGAGAGTTTGAAATTTTAAAAAATGTTGAACATAAAAATTAATTATAATCTAACTTATTTGTAAATAACTGTTGATTATAAAATCAAACAAGTGAAACAATCAAGCCGAGCTGCCCCATGAAATTGCAGGATGACATTGTTAAAAGGTCTTATGCACCTTTAATACACATGAGAAAACTAAATTAGTTTTAGTTTCCCACCTACCAAAAATGGAAATTAATTAAAGCTGGTTTACAGACTTAGTAAAATCTATATGTATTCTGGCAAAAGTAACAAAAATAAACTACAGAAAATTAAGTATTATTACATCAAAACAACAGAATTTGTTATGATTAACAAACTATTTACCATGTTCAAAATGGTCCCCTTCATGTTCAATAAAATACTGAATCCTATCAGCAACAGTTCAACAAATCATTTGATACGTTTCTACATTAATTTCAGAAAATTTATCAGAAATTGCTAGTTTTAATTCAGGAATTGTTTTTGGTTTGACCCTATAAACAAGATCTTTCAGTACACCCAGTGGTGTTATGCCTGGTGATAATGATGGACACTCAATTGCACTTCTATTCACATCAGCTTAAAAAAAAAAAAAAAAGAAAAAAAAAAGGGTTACTTTTACCGCTATTTTTCAAACATATTTTATTGAAACATCTGTTTAATTTTTAATACATGTTTTTCCACTTTGCATAAGCTGTCACATATTTAGATCAAATGTATGAAGAAACTGTTCAAAATATTATAGTGAGGATACATCTGGTTACAATATAACAAGCTAATGATGTTTTACAGATATGTTGGCTTGGAAAGAAAAATTGACATGTCAGGTTTGAATTCTGTATGAATTTATTACATTTACTTTAACACAAATACTCTCAGGAAAGGTATGAATCGATCTCCTGTTTGTAACCCTGATGAGGTGGTGCATACAATATACCCATTGAAAAGATTATGGAGCTTAAAACTAACTGCAGTATATGATTGCAGTAGTGCAGCTAGAGTGGGGGAGGCAACAGTGGTGGTTTGCCCTGGTGACACTTTTATGGGGGCAGCACCATTGGGTCTACTGTATAAGCCTGTATTGAAATAAAAGTGGCTTTAATCTTGGGACACTACTCACAATTGAGGTACCTTTTCGATTTTGAGTAACTATGGCAGAGTATTTAAGTGTTGGTATCTTGGCCGAACAATAAACATTGTCCAGTGATGTTCTCAGGATTTTTTTTATGATTGTCAACAATGTGAATGAACACAGGATGTTTTCTGTTAATGCTACAGCACCGCAGTGTGTGGGAAACACATCTTGGTTGTTATCATAAATTTCAGTTATTTTCCCCAACGGAAAGATATGTTACTATTCTTCATCTTTTGGGCCTGTTAATAGTGCATGCATATGTGTGTGTGTGTGTATTTGGGCAGCAACCCTTCTTTTATACAAGTTTTATTAAATACAACTGACAAGGTACTGTAATTAAGTTTTTTATTTAATTTTTCTTGTGTTAGACAAAATCATGTTGTTTTGATGGTTTTTCTTTTCTGGACACACACACACACACATATATATATATATATATATATATATATATAATCTCCAAGTGCTTTTGGCAATTCTATTAGTCATTATCAAGAATTTTTATATGTATCTATAGTGATTGAAATGTTTTTTCATTTTCCAAATATGATCAGCACATTGTGGCAGTGTTCATAGTTGATATTGAGTGTTGGCTTATTATTATTATTAATGCTTCCATTATTTTTACCCTTTTTTTAACAGGTGAATGAGGCTATTATAGTTGTATTTTCTGAGTGTTGCTAAACTCAAGGGCTGCCCCAGGTGCCACAAAATCTAGCTACACCAATGTGTGGCTGTGGATTCTTATGATCTACACTGAAGTTTTATAAAAAAACAAAAAAAAAAAACATTGTTTTATTTTTGTTTATAACAGGTTGGTTGATTGTTATTTTTCTAGAAGTCTTTAAAGCTGGTTTTATTTACCCATCAGCAACATGGCTTGGGAAACTATTATTAATAATTGTTTTATTTTAGTTAAGTCTTTAAATTCTTTATAAAATAAGGTGTGTAAAGAACAAATTAGTTTATCATGCTATTTTATCTAAGGTCATTTGTCGTGATAATTAAAGCAAGATTTTTTGCTTGAAGGCTTTTTATAAAGTAGAAAAATCATAACTTTTAGAGTTTACTAAAAACAAAGGAAACAGATTCTGTTATCAAGTTCATAAGTTTAGAACAAAGTTTTCCTCAAAGGATTTTTTTGTTTTCATCTAGGTTTTTAACTAAAGTGAACATATCCAAACATGTATCAGATTTGACAAAATTGTTAAAAATATTTTCTAAATGACTGATTTGTTTTTTATGGCTTATCAACCATTTACAGTTTATTTAAAGCTAGAAAATATTTTTTTTTTTAGATTGTAATAATTTCTTTTTGGGGATAATAATGATTTACCGATACAAGCCATATTAATTAATGCATAGCTGATGGAGTTGGAGAAGAGCTGGAGTCATATATTTCCCACAGGTATTTGCATGCAAGTGAATATAATAAATTCAACTGAAATTGGGACTCAGCTCTGATTTCCAATTCTGAGCAGTTTTCCCTTGCACCCAACTCACATCTAAGCCTACAGCACCTTGTATTCCCATGTGGTCACCCATCTAGGTACTGACCAGGTTCAATGTTGCTCAACTTTGGACTCCAAAATTCACTTGAGGATGAAATGGAACTAATGTCTTTAATTTAATTACAAAATTAAATTCTAAGCTTTTAGCTTCCATTTTTGAAACATGGTTAGAACTGTGTAGTGAAAAAAAAACATATTTTAAATCAGTTAATTTATAATGTTAATGCTCTGTAAATTTACATTGAGCACTATTTTAAAAAATAAAATATCTATAAAACAATCGGATTATATATCTTACTGTTCTTTTCTTTTTATATATATATA